GGGCGTGACCGAAAAGCTGTGTGCAATTACTGTAACCTACGGGAGATCACGTATATCAATTATGATTAGAGCACAGGTGAATGAGATCAATTGCCATTGGGTCAACTATATCTTACTTGCTAGATAGTTTGGGATCCTGAAAATCTGAGTCATAAAGTTAAGAGAGACTATGAGGAAAAAAATCTTGGTTGGTGAGACTCTCCTGAATTCGGAAAACCATCATGAAACGGATCTTTCCACGTACGTGTACAACACCTGGGATTTTCTGAGATGACAAGAGTAAAGACTCTTCCCTTCTCTGTTATACGTCCGAGTCTACGATTCTCTTTTTACTACCAAATAAATTCCAGAAACTCGAGGTTTTTTGAATGAGGGCAGTCAAAAAATCATCTACTTAGGAGAGTTGTGTTTGCTTATGAGAGAAAGCTGATTCGCAATATGCTTGAAGCAGAAAGAAAGTGATTATGAAACAGAAGAGCTTCTCGGATATAGTCATATCAGAATGCTTCAACCTGATTCTTCATGAAAGGCTTTCTCATTTTATTCCTTCAATTTCACTCCCTTGTTGTTTTCTCTGGTTCAATGTTTATTTCTTCCAAGTCGTGGATGGCGCAAAAAGTTGTTCTCATTCACATTTTATATGTTCTGAGGAATTCATCCAGTTCGCTTATTTTCAGATATGTGAAAATGAAACACGTGCAGAGCCGTTTCAGTTCAAGTTAGAAGCAGAATCGCATAGAACTCAAATGAACCACTGGACCACAACACCACAAATGTACAATGAAGACAATAATTTTTCTGATTGAAAGATATTCGATTAGGCCGTTAACAACATTGATATCTAGCTGTCCTTTACATATTTCCTTCTAAATTATAAGTACAATGCACAACTGAGCTTTATGAGATCGCCACACCAAAACTTCCCGAATGCTTAATCTAGCAACAGAGAGAGATGCTCAATCATTAATTGTAATAGTGACCTCAGTCACATCCAATAATGATCATAAAGAACTGAATTGCGAAATTATATGATTGTGATGAAGAAATCTTGAGAATTGATCGGATAGGGGATTCGTCTGTAACCTCGGGCAAAGATTTCAGACAAATAACAATCTTAACGAAATATTCATTGTGCAGATGTTGTAGAATAAAGAATTAGTTAGCCAATGTAAGCATACTGTTCATCGTCAATCGTGTTTACTGGTTTTTTGAATTTGAGACGTGTACCTGAAAATGTCCGCCTAATGCCTTACATTTGAATTTTTTGAAGTGAAAATTTTTTCGTTCAGTATAATATTAGGATAATGTGTAGCAGTAGTATGGGAGCTTCTGATGCTGAAGACGTAGAGATCGAAGATTTGTCCGGTTGGGATGATATCCGCGACTTCTTCACTAACACCTTGGCCTTGTCACAACAGTATGCGTTTGATGAGAACTCTTTTGTAGATGAGAACATCGATGATATTAACAATGTTCTCGCTACAGAGAAAATTCAACTAAAGGTTGGTGATGGAAGAGCTGATTTTCACGATCTATCCTTTCAGCTAACAAGAATTATGAGGAAAAAAATAAAATGCCCGCTATGTGCCTTTGAAACGAGGTTGAAGAGTACTAAGGGACTCTCTGTGAGGAATGTCCTAAAGGTCATCAAGAGACATTTGTTGCTCCATGAGCAAGAAGTTGGTTCTTTGTGTGTTTACATTACAACAGATTCGTTTAAGATTGAAGAAATGAAAGATAAAGATTGTCCGATTTGCGGTTTTTCGTGTTCGGAGAAGTATATGAGGAAGCATTACAGAATGGAACATCCGGGTATTGAATGAGAAATCTTGCAAACAACATAATTCCATTCAGACGAAGATGTTCCTGCTTTTCCGGAAAGCTCTAAAAGTACCGGGGTTCTAGCTTCTCTGCTCAAAATGATCGACGAGTAAGTTGGTTTAGGCTTTTATCATTTGCAAATGGTTTCAGGCGAGCTAAGAGTGCAATTGAAGTCAAGGTCCCCGTCAAGAACGATCGTATTCAGAAGAACTCTTTTTTCCGAGGATTCCGATCTCGTCATAGTTTAAGTGAGAATTGATTCAGAAAGACGGTGCTTCATATGCCCTTCAGAGACCTTCCAAGAACTGATCCGCAAAGAATTCGAGAAAACTGCAAGCTATTCTCTATTCTTCCAATTCAAAGTTTCCACTTACAAGAAAATCCCGTATAGATGGTATGTTATAAGGTTTGACAAATTCAATGAGCATTTTTAAAGGGCTTGTGGTTTATGTGAAAATGATACTGTAGGATACCTTCCTCACGCGTTCACCAATGACTTATCTCTGCGTTTGTATGTTTTGAGACATTTCTCTATTTATCATACCGAAGAAGATTCCATCATGCAACTCTGTGACAGAGAATGGTACAGTTTCCTCTCTTTCAATGCTCAGCTCACTTGACCTATTCAGGAAGAACTTGACAAAAGATACAGGCTTGGAGTTGCAACGTTACAATAAATGGAGTAGTCGCTTTGAAATGGAGAACAGGTGAGATCTCACTGGGACTATTCCTTAATCATTGTTTGTTCAGGAGTGCCTGGCTATGCCTCGAACCATATAATAATGAAAATAAAGATCTAATCTTGGAGATGATCTCCAGGGAAGTTATTGAGGTTTTTTTGCATTTATGATCAAGTCTCTAAAGTTTCGTCTATCCTAGGATAACACGCGCCTTGCTTGTGAATCAGTGATATGCTTGATATGCCTGAACAGTTATAAAGCATCCCGAATTGAGCCCCACTTCCACACTGATGAATGCCACAGACAGTTGAAATCGTTGGTGTAATTCTCCCTACTCTGCTTACTCTCTCACACTTTCAGACATCCTGAAAAAACTGAATTTGTGGAAATTGGAGAAATAGCTGAATTTAATGTACTAGATCTTAACATCTACCCCATGGGTTTGCTGCGCTATTCCAAAATGTTTTGTTTAACAGTAAGCTTCGTTGTTAAAGCCTTCAACAAGTATATTTTTAGGAAGACGATGAAACCACGTCTGTACCTTTTTATAAATGGAGATGTCCTCTCCCCTGTGGGCAGAACGGTCATATTAGCGATGTTCTGCATGTAGGCTACTTGATTCAGTACATTTCAACTCTACATTGATATTATAGTTCCCGAAAGCGACTGTCTTACGTTTATACGTCTTGAAGCACTTCATGGAATTCCATGCTGGTTTCTTCGCAGACTCTTTCATAGAGCATGAATGGTAAGTGTTTACCAGTGTCTAGTATGACCAATCTTCCAGGAAACTGTTGAGTAACACCATGAAAATATCTGAACCTCTTCTTCATACTGACCCCATCTCAGAAGCGGATAATTTCGAACTCGAGTATCTTCAATGTGCAAATTTCCATCCAAGCATACGTTTTCAGTGATCCTAACGATTTTCAATGGCCACTCGCTTCAATGTTAATCTTTAAGAGTTATAAGGATTTCAAGGTTAGTGGGAACGTTCTCTTTTTATTGATATTCGAGTTACCAGGTTTGTTACTTCTGCTACTGGTGTGGTCTGCCCGATGCTTTTCTCGATCACATCACCATCCATGGCTACCTGCCTACTGAGTACTTTCATTTTTTTGTCAACATCATAATATGACTGAATTTCAGTAAGAGATTAGTTTCAAATGCTGTTTTATATAAAAGTCAGGAGAAGAAGTTAAAGAAGAATTGTTTCGTCCCACATGAGGTGAAATAATAACTTGCGGTTCACACATCTACATCTTTCCAGATTGAGAGCTTCCCGAGAAAAGTTTTAGGACCATTGGGCAGAGGTTTCAGAAGAACTTTGACTGAACCGAGTAAGAATGAAGAGCAACGCTTAGAGCTTGAAACCCTTTCATCATGTTGCGATACTGAGGAGAAACTTGTAGTACTTTCTTTCTCATTATTATGTATTTCCATTTCGTTTAGGCTTCAGATATGGATAGCATGAATTCCCAACCATTGGCTGATGTCTCTTTCTCTAGTAGCCTTCGTAGTTCTGCACGAAATTCTGCTAGAAGTGCATCGTTGAAGATAACACAATCTCTTGACGAGGGTGCATGGAAGGACGCTATGTTTGTCTGTACCCTATATAGGAAACTATCAATCTCTTCAGAGCAGATTCAGCCAGCACTTCTTCCAGTGATGACGACAACTCATCTGATTCGGATGGTGGACAAAGAAGAGAATCACCAGAAAGCGAGGAAGATATTTCACAAAAAAGCAAAGATGATGCTACAGAAGACAACGAGGAGGATGATGACAATGATATGATTGCTGATACAACGTTAACTGAGAAGTCTTCCATTGTGGTTTCCTCAGCGGAGAATAGAAGTGATACTAGCTCAAACTGCTTTTCGCGTAAGAAGATTACCAATCATCTTTCTAATTATTGGTTCCTTTCTAGGAAATGCAGTCTTGATTGAGCAAGCAACTGCGGAAAAGATGAGCCTCATCAAAAAGAAATTCGAACATGCGATTCTGTATGTTGCTGGAATACAAAGTCAAGAGCTAAGAACTTGTTTTCAGCGAAGACCTTCCTGCACCAACGTTTTCTGAACTCAAGGCTCTGGAATTGATGAAACTAAGGAGATGTTTCTTGTGCAAAGTATTGTATATTGGAATAGCATACTAAATGATGTTTCTCAGGGTACTCCGTTGGTCAAAACTTCTGGACAATCCGGTATCTCCACCGGCATGTTGGAGAATTATGTTCTTGCACATTACATCATGAGACATTCTAATGATCCGACAGTCCACCTTCTGCTCGAGAGAAAGAGGTTCATAGTATCTTAACCCAATAACGAATCTTGAACATTTTAAGATCAATGCTTCTAAGCAAAGAACCTTTCTATCCGACGCCGTTTCTTCTAGAGCATAAGGTGAGTATCTTTCATGATTTCGATTATTTTCTATTTTGTTCAGCCGTATCTGGTTTGTTCTTCTTGTTCGAGCTATAAAGCGACCCGGTTCTCAATATTACTAACTCATTTCATCGGCTGTGTGAAAGTAACAGAGAAGAAAATTATCAAAGAGCCGATGGAACCGTCGTTAGGATCGTTCGTACTCATTTCTACCATGAAAAGTGTATTTATATATTTAGAACAGTTTGTCGCTTGTCAAATTGTGGCTTGAAACTACGAGCAGGAAAGAAATATGACCCTAACTATACACAGCTCATACACCTCCTCAGTTCTCATGCCAAAGAGAAAGAAGCATATGCGTTGGCTATGAAGCTGATGTAAGTTTATTGAGCTCTGCTTATCTTATGATCTGTATTTGAAGAGAACATCACAACTTTGCCGAAACTCTTCCTTACACCGATGTTCCTAAGTCATTTGCTCTTACAATCGACAAATCTCATCTCATGCTAGTTTGCTCTAAATGCGAACACTCTTTCCACAAGCCGACCGAAATCCTGGCTCATTCACTTCGATACCATGCAATTGTGGAACGAAAGATTTGTCCATATAACTGTGGGAATGATATAACCAGGAAGAAAGGAGTCTCTTGGGACATCAGGGTCCATCTTCATTTGATAGAGGAACATTTCATGGAAGATGATGTGTTCTCTCATTTTGATGAACGGTTAACTGGGACATCGAATGTTTTACTTTCATTTTCAATTTCAGAATTCAGAAATTATTCACTGACCATGAGATATTTACAATTGATCTTGCGAGATCAGTCGAAGAGTCTAGGGAAGTTCATCGTTCAGTCCATGTGTGTGTGGTATGCGAGTAAGGCTGACGACACACTTGCATGAGAATCTTACGAAAAACTTTTAAGCAACGTTGTCATGTCCAAGTTCCATCAACATAAGAAGATTTGTTCGAAAGGTTTCGATGAAACTTTTTCCTTGAATCAAACAACTCCTGGAAATCGATCAGTTAACATTAAAAATTCCTCTGCCGTCTCTTGCTCATCTAGAACTAGTTCACTCGCGAGAGTAGCCTGCAAGTGAGTATCTACCACACGGTATTCAAATACTTTGTTTCATAGGTTCTGCCGAAAGTCTTTCTTGTCATGCCACAGCGAAGAGGCTACTCTTATTGCTCATTCATTGAAAAATCACAGAGGACACAAGCTCGTAAAGGAATGGTTCGATTCATTGTGAGTTAAATATTTGTTACAGCACATGTTCAATTTTTCCAGAAACATTGAAGAAGTTCAAGATAGAATTCCCTTTCTATACATACGCAAAGGATTAGAAGCTTACAATATGCCAAGTCTGTGTTACCTTTTGGCGATGGCTGACTTCTCTTTCCAGGCTCTTCCAGTAGCTGTTTATTCTGCTCCGTCTGTTCTAAAAACTTCAAAACTTTGAGTCACTTGCTTGGTCATTACACAACTCATAACATTGAACATGGATCAGTGAAAAAGACGGAAAAGTAAGAGAAGCTTCGATAACTTAGCAACATCACAGATGGTTTCAGCTCACGTTTTTGCTCGTTCTGTAAGAAACACCTAAAGAGGGCAGTGAATTACTCTGGTTTGGTGGGTTTCACGGCTCACATGATTGAATGTCATCCCGAAGAAGTGACTTCATCCTACTTTACGGAAGAAGATAAGCAAGTTTCGTTTTCATGCCCTCATCTATTTCTTCATTTCACAGGAAAGAAAACCTCGAATCCATTCCCTTTATTGACGTAGAGAAATCTGTCGCTTCCAAGAAACTAATTTGTTCGTTATGCTCACAAGATTACAAAATGTTGAGAAACATGCTCCATCATTGCTTCATAAGTCATAGTCTGGAATGGTTAGTCGTTTGATCATGTAGCTGTCACCTCATCTTGTTACAGTAGTACCGCAAGGAGGGTGTCCGAATCCGAAAATAACCTTGATGAAGAAATCTCTCAAAGCACCCCCAAGAGAAGTTGCCGTCGAGGTGAGTGTACTCAACTCTGATAATTATGGACTAATGCTTTAGAACCAAATTTCAAGATTGACTTTGGTGCCGAAGCATCTCCTATACTACCACCTTCTGCCTCTGACAAAGAAAAATGGAAAAATACTTTCAAAAGGTGAGGTTCTCGTTTGTCTTCCAACCCAAATGATTCTAAGATATGGAAAACTTCAAATTGACCTGAGGGAGAAAAGCCTGTTGATGGAAGGTTCTGGCTCAAAGTCGAAGCAAACTAAGCTGAACTCTTTCATGAAAAAAGTAGATTCGACAGCATCCCAAGAGCCTGATAAGACTTCTTGTGAAGAAACAACTGATCAATTGGACTCTGTTGAAACCAATAGCAATAAGTCCTCCAAAAATTCTGGTTAGCAAGTACCGGTTGGTCAATACTACAGGGGACATTTCAGACGGTTGGCTTCAGATGAATAACACACAGAATGTTATTGCTCCTGCTATTCCTGCTCTGAGACTGAAAAGCGTTAGTTCAACAGGTTTTACAATTCTTCAGCTCAGCTCATTTTCCAGGCGCTTGAATCTAGCTCCGCATCTCAGAGCTGTGAGAATTTGGCAGAAGCGTTAGGGTCGATGTTAGATGTAAAGTCAACGGTATGGTAGCTTTTCCGAGTTTACGTATTTCATATGCATTCCAGAATTCTTCTTTTCAAAATGACTCGGTTCTATCCTTGCTACCTTCCTTTGCGGTTGATAATGTTAGTAGCCCGAGCGTGGCACCCTGTGATCTCAGTCATGTTCCAGGTGTTAACGGATACAAGTATGTCATTTGGCATGAGCGATTTCAGTCTTTAATTCTTATAGATGTAAAAGATGTGATTTTGTCGGATTGAAAATTCAAGACATTGTGAAACATATGAAACTAATACACAACACTGGCACAGCCATGAAGAAGCCTGAGAAACGGGATATAATCTCGAGTTGTATAATCTGTAGAAGGGTATGATGATGGGTGTTAAATGTGGGTATATTGTATTTTCAGTGTTTTGCCAGTCGACAGAAGTTGTACGTTCACATCAGGGATGCTCACCCGGACGAGAAGAGACCCTTCCCGTTAGTTTGTGAATCTCGTATCTTTGATGACTCAAATGTTTAGATGTAGCTATTGTGGAAAAGGATTCAGTAATCCCACTCGTTTGCGAGAACATGAGGTAACGAGAGCCGAACACATTCAAACAATCCAATCCATTTTTAGCGACGAAATCACGAAGAGAATTTCAACGTTGAACCAGAATCTCTGAAGTGTGAGCACTGTTCAGTGGTCTTCCTGAGCGTACGTAACAAGAAATTGCATGAAAAACGACATAAAATGTCAAAAGATTAACTTTTTTATTTTTGTTCTGATTTATGAAATCTGTTCAAGACCGTTTGCCTTACTTTACCTTGTTGCCAATACTTAGCCTTGTTATGAACTCAATGAAATTGAATGTCAAATAGTTATAAAAGAGTTGTTATATTCAGTCTTAATGTTCTCTTAGAAGCGATCAGACACATTGACACCAAGACATTTGTTTGCCTAATAGTTGAGAGCAGGTTTCAGAGTTCATGTCCAAGCAACTCATTCCTGATAGTGATGACAGTGGCAACACAGAGTAGCAACACTTGATGAGTTTCTGAACTCTTGATAGAATCCTTAGTTCATGAATGGCGTTGTAGAATGGAAAAAGAGAAAGACAAAGAGTCTAGTGGGAAGCAAACATGTATGGAATGAGATGGTGTGAGAAGTAAGAAAGCTGAAGGAGCAGAAGGAGAAGACGAATTTCACATAAAAGTTGGAGAGTCGCAGTTGAGATTTCTAGCAGTAAAAAAGATATTTTGTGATTAAATTGAACAATCAATAAGATGTTAAATTAGTTGAGAAACATAGGAAGCCAGTAAAAGATAGCTACGATCGGAGCTGCATTTATATGCTCCGATTTATCTGATCATGAAAATAAAGTTTAGTAGAAAACATTCAGCTAGTGTGAACCTATGCTTATTCACAAGTCGTCTGTCTAATCAACATAGCTTGCTATCTTGGAACTTCCCTTCTTGAAGTTCTTTCTTTACTTTTTTTTGATTTTCTTAATCCTACCGTATGTTTACCGTCTTACGTTTCTCTTCCACTATCACTCTTGAGACGATTGATTAGATGAACTTTTAATACTTCGAAGAACATTCCTAACCTGGATTCTTGCATTTCATGAGCTGCTGAGAGAGAAGACTAGATTGACAGAGAACAAAAAGAGAGAGAGAGAGAGATAGAGAGAGAATAAATGATTTTACTACTGTATGCAGTTAATGGACTGTTTTCTTAAACTTTCTTTTGTCTTACAATCAAAGTCTACCTTGTAGAACTTGATATTGAGGAAGAGAAGGTGAAGGAGAGCAAGTGAGGAAAACGAAGAAGAAGGAGTCGCGTCATACTCATCACTCTCCATCTTCGGATATCAGAGTTATGAGGTGCCTCAGGCGATTATAATGTCCCCTCTTCATTCTTATATAATTATAAGCTACGTTAGTTCCTCTAATTTACTTCTTCTCTTCATCTTTTCCTCCTTTTCATTTATGATGTTAGTCGGCCTTCTTTGAGCTGCGAACCTCTCTTTCGGATATTCTGATTGTCTCAAATCTCTCAAAATCATATTGTATTGTGTTGTCTTTTTTTCTTCACATCCTTCTGTTTCTTCGATTCGCCTTCAAAACTAGCAGACGTTGGCGTTTTGTCCTTCACTTTATGGCTTCTTCAACTTGTGTTGAAGAAGAAAAAGGAGAAGAAGAAGAAGAAGATGATGATGAAGAACACGAACAAGATTACGGTAGTCAGTATCAGTTTGACATCTGTCAGAAAATACGAATAAGAAGAGAACAAGAACAGCAACGGATTACGGTAAAAGATCTTGTTTAGTTGAAAGACACTATCAAGGCTCGTCCAAAACCCTCACCGCAATAACTTGCTAGCCACCACCATCACTACAAAGGACAACAAAAAAAAAAGATTCTTTGGGACCAAAAAAAAAGTGAACCAAATAGCGTGAAGAGTTTTTTGTGGGAGAGATCAAGTCAAAGTAATTTTCGAAACACACAGACGTAGACACACACATACACACACACAGACACACACACAGACACACATGTTTTGCTTTTAATTGAAATGACAATTTCTTTTATCTTGTCCGATTTTACATTTTATGATTGAAACAGATGTCATTGAGACTTGTGTTACTCCAAATTCACCAGAAGCTTTTAAACGAATTCTTCTTTTTCTTGATTAACTTCAGCTGTACTACGACAACCTTTTATGGCCTTTTGCCTCTATAAAAGGAAATAGATGAATGCAAGTAGTATGAGATGAGGAGGTAGCTTACAGCTGAAGCTCAAGAATGAAGAATGAGAAAGGTTGGATAGAAGTAGTACTAGTTGAGAGTAGAGATGCAATGAGTCCTTCAATCATGTTAATATGCCAATCAATGTGTGTAGATGTAGATGTGTGTGTGTTCATAAATATGTCTGAAGACGATCACTGTTGCACAAGATGATTCCCTCAGAAGTGTGTTAAACGTCATCTTCCTTGAAATGCGTCTGATATTGTCATCGGCAGATGTCATCTTTACGACCAGTCAGATGACTTTGTTCGTTGCCGACCAGAATATTTCCTACCTTTTTACAGATTTGGATGTCAACAAGTCATATCTGCAATACACATCTTTGCTATTTGAATTGACCGCAACTTTCAATAAATTCAATCCCATACCGACCTTTAATATCCTTATATGGACTGGGAATTAACTTACAAACCACCTCTCTCCCCCCACCCACACCTCTTCTCTCCCTTAACTATACGTACATAATCAATAAGAAGTGATGAATCATCCATTCTACAAATCCACATTTGGATTTCTCCATAGAGCAGAGTCATAACAACCAAAAAAGCTTTTTCACATTCACATCCATATAGCCTTATATGGGATTTTCTGCCTTTTTTGCTGACAAAATGATTTGTCTAAGACATTAAGCTTTGCTAACGATTACAGTCATCATACCTCTTTTTGTAAAGACAATTTATGACATACAGACAATACAATAGAATATCCAAATCATTGAGCGATGAGGTAAAGAGCCATTCAATCTTAGGAGATGACTTGAGACAGAGAGAGAGAGAGGATCAATTGAAGAGGAAAGAGGTAGAGAGAGAGAGAGAAGGAGAAGTATAATTGACATGGAAGATGTTCAACAAGGAAGTAGAAAATGGGAATAATGAAAGTATAAGCTTCAACTTGTAAAATCGTCAATCATCTTATATCCTTTCTAACATTCAATCTCTTCATGTACTATCCATGAAGCTGCTCTCAACCATTGTATGAAGGTGAGAGTGAGAGGTGAGAGGTGAGGTTGAATGGTAAAGCCAAGAACTCATGATTCCTTAACAAATATTTTATTTGAAATAAAGAAAGTTATAAACGTTGACTGACCATTTATGGAACCCTAAAAATATATTATTATTATAGATTTCGCGTCAAAACTATTTGAACGTTGGAATAGAACATACGGACACATTGCCTTTCGTTTAAGCCCATATAGGGTAGTTGCTTGCTTTTTTCTAATTTCGTCTTTTCTTTTTTAGATAACTCTTTATCTTCATTCGTTCGTCAGACTCCTTCTTCTATACTAAAATGATACGGAAGAGTGTCTTTCATCATTGCCTACGGAGTACAAGACATCAAAGAGAACTTCTTCATTCTTCCACTTCTCTCCGTATTTGGCTGTTCATGCACATTGGATTGAAGAACAATAAGCTTCAGGTATCTTCATTTCTCTATACTCTCTTCATATCATATACTATCATCTCGCTAATCATCTTATATACAGTAATCTAATTAACATATTCAGGTGTTATAATCCTATGTGAAGAGAGTGGTCATCAATTTTCTTAATGATAATAAACCTTCTTTCCATCACCCTCAAACCTTTTCATCAAAAATTTTTATCAGTTCGATGGCTTCTTGGGCGATATCTGAACACTCTCACATGTGCTTACTATCTTCTAGACAACTATAGCTGATAACAAGAAGAGAAATAGGAAGAGAGAGAGACAGAGGCAATGTATGAGATAGAAGCAAAGAGGACAGGATGCTTCAAGCTCAACTCTTTCATCTTGCCGACTTACTAGCTATGCTTTTCCAATCAAACTCCTCCCCAACATTGAACGGTTTTGTTCTTTTCGTTTTTGTCTTCCTTTTTATTTTCGTTCATGGACTAACACAAGCATATATCAATCGATGGTGCAACGGCACCTACATCTCTATCATCTGCTTCATACGAGACACAAGAAGCGGCTGAGAAAAAAGGAAATTCCTTTGCCTTTTTTTTTCAAATTGAACAAAAGGTGATACAAACATTGTTTTGTAGCATCATAGATATGAAGCTACCGGAAGCTTCTTTGGTCATTCATTATCTTCGAGACTGACGCCAGCGGCTCTCTTTGGTAATTACATTTTTCGGGCTCCTTCATAATTTTCTCTTGTACTGTTTCACCCGTCACATGCAGAGAGAACGAGAGAAAGAAGCATACTATTGACATCGTCATCTGTCCTTCTTCTGATAAAGCTTCTTCCTAGCAAAAGCGGTATCCTTTCATCAGAATTTCAGAAAATGATGTCAACACTTTTATTTTTTCTCTTCTGAAATATGCATCTACCTCCTATTTATTTTTCCTTCTTTTCCCATTTTCTTTCTAATTCTCATTCAAGTTCTTGTTTGTTGAGCTAACTTACAAAAGCTTACCGACAGATGAATTCCCACTTGAGGCTTTAATCCCATTATTATATAATTATATAATTTGAATAAAGCTTCTTAATATGGGCACGTGTGATGTTGATTAGACTAACATGACAGGTCATGACATCATCTTGTGTCGGCATCTTTCATCTCTACTTGTATACAACTAACTTACCAAATAAAGAGAGAGAGACAGTGAAGATGAGAGAGCTAGTACAGTCTTACAAGTTAAAGATATGATCAGGCATATGTTTCAAATGAACTTCTTGACATCGGAATCTTCAATCACCTAATCCATCATATGTTCTTACCACATCTGAATCTGTTAACGTACATGTCATCGGCACGCTCTATTCACACCTAGACTGTTGCTATCAGCATTGCAAGCCAATCAAATGAGAAGTTGAGAGTGATGAAACAGAAAATAGAAAACAAAAGAAGAAGAAGAAGAAGTTGAATATTGAAATTAGCATATCCTATACGATATGTCATAAAAGATATATCAAAGAACTATCATTTACAATCTTTTGATAGGTCGGGCTGAATAACAAGGCGCCGCTATCATTC